AAAAGTACAAGAAAGAAGAAAGATAACAAAAATCCGCATCTCTGTCGAGCACTCCAAGGGCTGTCAGTCCGTCCTGGTCCTCTTCCTGGACGAGGGTCCAGGAGCATCATCAGCGTCGTCGTCAGAGCCCGAGCTAGAACCGTCTCCGGTCTCCTCCTCTGATGACTCGGACTCCGCCTCTGCCTCCGCCTCTGACTCCTCGTCATCATCATCATCGTCCGAGACTGGAGCTCGCGAGCTACTCCTGACATGAGCACGCCCTCCCCTGGTACGGGGAAATATCCGGCCCTCCTTATCTCTCCCCCGAGCAGGGACGGAAGGTCCGGCCGAAGCACCTCCTGCCATGGGAATCTGGAAAGGAAGCTGAAAAGTATATAAAAAGGGAAATGCATCAGTATACTGTAGGCAGTTTATCAGTGCAGAATACAGTGTATGAGTACCGTGTGAGAATGCCGTGAGCAATTTATCAGTGCAGAATGCAATGCCGAGTATAGTGTATGAATACCGTGAGCAGTCTATCAGTGCAGAATGCAGTGTGTGAGTACAGTGTATGAATGCCGTGGGCAGTTTAACAGTGCAGAATGCAGTGTATGCAGTGTTCAGGTTCTGTGAGATTCAGTACAGAGTACGGTGCAGAATGCAGTGTATGCAGTGTGTCAGATGCTGTGAGATCAGTGTATCGGGTGTTGTGCCATGTATCAGATTATGCAAAGCAGTGTATGAGTGGTTTGAGGCCAATGTCAGAAGGACATACCGGTCTGCTGTAGAGGGCTAGGAGATCAAAAGTCCGCTGGAGCATCCCCATCATCGAGGCATTCATCGCCAACGACTGACGGGTGTACCCAGAAGAAGCCTGCAAAAGTGTCAGATGCATCAGTATTCTGTGGAATATCAAGTAAACTGAAATGAAATGACTATACAAAAGTGCAGTAGTACATGCCGGAGGTAGGTCGGGGATGTCAATGAACTCGTGACCGGCCGGTGGAGGGGCGAAGGGGATCTGATAGGTCGACCCACCCTGCCCCTGGAAAGTCAGTACAGCGGGCAGGGCATCCCCGTCCTCCCTGCACTCCACCCCTACCACGGACCCGGGCCCTCCTCGAAGATCCAGCCCCTGCTCCCGCTCCGGCCCCAGCCGCCGATGCCACAGGCCTGGCCCCCTCTGCTCGACGGCCGCTCAGGGGGCGCATCAGGTACGTCCGCACGTACTCCTGATAGTCTCCAGTGCCTCAGAAGCCGGCCTCCTCCCAACCGATGGAGTAATCATCCAGCTGCTCAGTGGTGAGCCCCTCGGTCTCCCTCATGTCTGCAGGACGGGGAACCGGGACTATCTGCTCAGGTAACCCTAGGGTCTGGCGTAGAAAACGCTCCCCCAGGTACCAAGCCCGACAGACCGGGCCCTCAAGCAAAATCCGGAACCGCGAGGTCTCCTCCGCACCAGGGAACCAACCCCGCATCGCCGCCGGCATAAGAGCCCACGGCCGCCATGTGATCTGAAAATGACAGACAATTTGTTATCTACTGTTATTGAAATATACAGTTGAAAAGCGAAGCTTAAATGAACTGAAAGTAAAGCATACCTCCGCGGGGGTGATGGTGTCGAAATATCGGCGGAAGAAGCCGAATGTCTCCCGTGGTCGCCGGGTGCATCTCCCGTCGAAGCGACTCGAAAAGCGGACGGCCAGGGGAGTCTCCGCAACTGGCACAGGAGCGAGCCTAGGGAAATAGGCATAAACCCACAACTGCAAGATAAATACCAGTGCATTTATCAGTTGAAGCAGAATGCAGAATAAAGCAGAAATGGCATAGCCGTGTGTTGTGCAGTGTATTGTTTGCAGTGTACAGTGTGAGCAGTGTACAGTCAGTGTAAAGCAGAATGTATGTGTGTGCCGTGTGTACAGTATACAGCAAGTGTAAAGCAGACTACAGTGTGAG